GAGTAGGCCCATTTGAGTCAACAGAATGTATGGAGGCTTTGACTCACTAAATCCCCATGGAGTTAACTGTCTTAGCCTTGTGCAATTTCTTATTCTAAGCAACAGGATTTCAGCCATTTATGTATGGAAGGAAGAATGTATCTGGTTGGAGAGGAGAAAAAGTCTCTTTGTCGGGAACAATCAAGTATAGATCCCCTTTTGTTGTTGTTGTTTAGTCATTAAGTCATGTCCGACTCTTCATGATCCCACGGACCAGAGCACGCCAGGCCCTCCTGTCTTCCACTGCCTCCTGGAGTTGGGTCAAAGTCATGTTGGTCGCTTCGATTACACCGTCCAACCATCTCATCCTCTGTCATCCCCTTCTCCTCTTGCCTTCACACTTTCCCAATATCAGGGTTTTTTACAGGGAATCTTCTCTTCTCATGAGATGGCCAAAGTATTGGAGCCTCAGCTTCAGGATTAGTCCTTCCAGTCGGCACTCAGGATTGATTTCCTTCAAAATGGATAGGCTTGTTCTCTTTGCAGTCCAGGGGACTCTCAAGAGTCTTTTCCAACAACAGACCATTTGAAGTTCCAACCATTTTTGGTGCTCTCCTCTTTCATCCTCATTAAGAGGTTCTTTAATTCCTCCTCACTTTCTGCCATCAGAGTGGTATCATCTGCATATCGGAGGTTGTTGATATTTCTTCCTGCAACCTTAATTCCTGCTTGGGATTTATCCAGTCCAGCCTTTCGCATGATGCAGGGAGACCATATAGAGCCTTGTTGTACCCCATCCCAATTTTGAACCAATTAGTTTTTCCATATCCAGTTCTAACTATTGCTTCCTGTCCCACATATAGATTTTTCAGGAGATAGATAATGTGGTCAGGGACTCCCATTTCTTTAAGAACTTGCCATTGGTTGACACAATCAAAGGTTTTTGCATATTAATTCCAGAACTCTCGGGCTTTCTCCATAATCCAGCGCATGTCAGCAATTTGGTCTCGAGTTCCTCTGCCCCTTCGGAATCCAGCTTGTACTTCTGGGAGTTCTTGGCCCACATACTGCTGAAGCCTACCTTGGAGGATTTTGAGCATCACCTTGATAGCATGTGAAATGAGTGCAATTCTACGGTAGTTGGAGCATTCTTTGGCACTGCCCTTCTTTGAGACTGGGATGTAGGCTGATCTTTTCCAATCCTCTGGCCACTGCTGAGTTTTCCAAACTTGCTGGCATACATTAGCTGCCTTATCACTTTCCCCATTTGGAGCTCTGCAGTCACATAAATATGGAACAGAATACTTAAACAGTATTTAACCTGTTGTTGCTACCCTACAGAAGGCAGCAATCTACTTAAACCTGCTATATGAATATTTACTAGGTAACTCAGAATACTCTGGCTGGATAACTTAGTAAGTAAGGTATCTGGCTGGGAACCCAATAGCTGGGTGTTTCCCCATGGTGCCTTTTAGGATTAGAGACATCCTGTGTGACTTTGGACAACTTGCGCATCCCTAGGGGGTCCCCAGAAGAAGGGAATAGTAAACTACTTCTCTACGTAGAAAACCCTGGAAGGAATCACCTTAAGACCGAATTGATTTGATGTTACACTATTATTAGTTTTTATAGTTATTCCAAAAGGACTGGGATCATTCCAGCACTATCAAGTGGCTTCCCAACATGATTCCCCAGATCATATTTATAAATCAACCACCATACACAAATTGATCAACCACAGCTTTTGGCATATTCTCCAGTAGTTCAGAATTTAGTCTGATTTGTCTTGGATCAGGTCGGGGACTGCTCCATTCCACCTGGCCAGAATCTGATCCCTCATTCAGAAACCTTACCCAAAAAACAAAACAAAACAAAAACAGCATCCTCCTCCCTTTATGAGAGATAAAACAGGAGTGTAGCAAAGTCAAAACAGAAGGAAAGACAAAAATAGAAAATTTCCCCAGTCAACAACAGCAACATCTACCAGTCAGGGTGTGGTGGATGGCAATGCACTTGACAATACGCTTGTCAAACTACCTGTCCAACCTTACTGTCCCATACTGAAGTGTTTTTGTTACCATTTCAGCTGCAACAGGATCATAACCAGTCAGCAAACTCCCATCTTTTGAAACTGCTGCATTTCAGATCAAGTTCTCAAGCAGCACTAATTCCTTCCCAAAATGGAAACTTTTGGCGTTTATGTGCTACTCAGACAGACTTTTAAATGAGCTCAGGATAAGGCTTGTTCATACAATACCTCTACCTCCAGTTGGGCCCTTTTATCATTGCAATGACAAATGAACATCAACCTGTTACACGACTACTGAAGTCAAAGAGAGGCAATGCTTTTAGAAAAGAAACCAGTTTTGAAAGCAGACACTGAAAGACAGGGCACGTTACATAGGTACAAAAATATCCTCAATTAACTAGTTGGAGGAGGCTCTTGAGTGTCCCCTGGACTGCAAGGAGAACAAACCTATCCATTCTAAATGCTCACTGGAAGGACAGATCCTGAAGCTGAGGCTCCAATACTTTGGCCATCTCATGAGAAGAGAAGAATCTGGCATGCTCCGGTCCATGGGGTCATGAAGAGTCGGACACGACTAAACAACAACAACTTTCAGCTTGATCCTACCAAATTAAGACCATATCCAAGGAGCAAAGACAAGGTTATGAAATTGAAATGCCTTCTTCTTTCCCCTAATCAGCCAGTTAATCAACTGTTTCTTTTCCTTACCATTATCAGCCCCAAATCACCATTTTGTGAGAGCAGCAGAAGAGCATTCTGAAACTCCTCCTCCGTCTAAACTGATAGTAATCTTAGCAGCCAGTGGAACATTGTCTTCTTGTTACAGAAAGCCCATGAAAGGAAGTAACAAGAACAATGGAATCTCCTCTATGTCTTCCAAGGAGTGTGGTGACATGTTGTATTTTTTTGTTGTGCTCTGGGAAACCTACACTGCAGCTGTCTCTCCTGAATAAAAATGATACGGATATGGATATAACCAGAGGTATGTGAAAATTTCAGTATTTCCAGTACTTCTTGTTATTATTGTTTTTCATAGGCTTTCTCTCCACCAAAGATCAACCTCTTTTCCCAAACTCATCCTCAGTTATGTCTCAGGTATGGGAAGTGTTAAATGCCTACTAAAATATGTGTCCATCAAAAAATGTTCTACTGGTCTTCTCTTCATTTTCTGAGGAAGAGACTATAATGTGAAACTGATCAACCTGAGTGCACTGGAATGCAGGCAATGGAGACCATTATGTCAAGTCACAACTGGAGAATATGGGTATCAAGTTTGCTCAGTTACAGTAGACTGCTAATAAGACTCTCTCCTGCTTATCTGCATTATCAGCATTAGAGGCTGAGGCATCACAAGGAACTTCAATGGAAGCAGTCGATAAGGAGGAACCACTGCGGATTATGAAGGTACCATGGTTGATAGAGCAGGAACCAGAGACAGTAGATTCAGGTGAAGCCCCGGAAAACTTGGAGGTGAGTAGCCAAAAGCACCAGCTATGTGTGGAAGAGGTTAATGGAGTATCAGAAGGTGGAGTGTTATCACTTCTGCTCTTACCTGTCCCACCACATGGCATTTGAACCCTGGAGGGAAGCATATCATATGAAGCATTTGGCCCCAGAGAGGGACTGCACTGATGTCGGGCAATCCAGCCTTGCATGGCACAACACCCTACGGGTCCATTCTTTATCAATAGCGGGGAATAAAAACTATAACTCAGATTTTTATAGGCTCTGTAATTTTTTTGAACAGGTTCTGAATGGGGGGGATCACTTCCTTCTGGTCACAG